CCGATGCGATCGTTCCAGACCGTAGGTGCGGGCTTGTGGACCCAAAACCCCAAACCCTAAACCCCATACGGTATAGGGGTGCAGACACGTATCAAAGTAACGGTACATCTACTGACATGACAAAACATGCATAGCAAATGTTGGTAAAGCTTGACATTGCAATAGGGTTGCAGAGCCTGAGGTTGAGGCGGCTCAACGTTGATTAGTTGGGTATAGGGACTTTAGGGTTTAGGGTTCAGGGTTTAGGGTTTAGGGGTCTAGGGACTTTAGGGTTTCGGGTTTAGGGGTCTAGGGACTTTAGGGTTTAGGGGATTTTACCCTCAAAACCTGCGAGCTGCCTCACCGCAAGCCCGAAGCCCAACAAGCCACTCAACCTTTGGGGATTCGGCGCTTAAGGCTTGGGGCTTGCAGGGTTTAGGTTTTAGAGTTTACGGTTTAAGGTTTACTGTAGGGTTTATGCAGTTTAGGGTCTAGGGTTTCAGGCCCGACCCCTCCCAGTGCAGATAAACGACACTCACCAGCAGCATGAAGAGATTCTCCCGCAACGCCTGCACGCGACGCCACGGCGAAGCAGGTCACTTTTGCTCGTGGTTCTTGGATGTTGAGTTGTTTTGGCTTTTCGGATTTCGCGTTCCGGGGATAAGGGTTGCAGAGTTTTCCATTTGGGGGGGTCTTCAAATTACAACAAATGCTTGACGTTGGGACATAGGGCGTCTTACTTACGCAACCCCTGTGAGGCTTACGAGCCTAAAAGTGATACGTTCAACGAACAGCACCAGAAACGACGACAACAAACCGATCAAACCGGAATCTATAAAACAAACAGACGCTAAATGAGAACTTCCAGAGAACATCCCAGACCGTAATTCTAAATCTCGAGACCCCCTACCCGAAACCCCAAAAAACAAGCAATCCCCAACGCCCCCCCACCCTCTCGCATGGCTCCGTTAACGAACCTCGAACGAAACCATCAAAAGCACCCCAAACCCCCATCGATGGCCTCATTGAGTGCGATGCCCTCGCCCAGATCCATCTGAGACCTCGCGAGGTCGATATGAGGTTTGTAAACGAAAGGCTTTGTCAAACGTTTGTTAAGGGAAAATTGTGCTCCTGTTTGTTGAGCCTATGTTGCATTAACCATGGCTGTCGGGCATGCTGGCTTAAGGGTCCCATCAGGATTTTGGTCGAGCTGTTTGTGAGTTGCATGCCGCTTTTTTAGAGGTCTGATCGAATTGTCAGGGTTTGATCAAGGTCTTCCTAAAGTTCTCAAAAGGCTTTATGTAATAATTTCAGTCTTGATGTGGCTTTACAGACTTGTTTCTAGGGCTTTATGGTGCTTTACAAGGTTTACATGGGGTTTTGTGTTCTAGGGTGCTAGACGGGCTTTTAGAAAGCTTGCACCATTGGCTACTATAGGGTGTTGAGGCATGAACTGCGGTTGATGATGTAAACCCTGCATTTCAATATACCATAATTCCCAAAGTTTAGGGTTCTTTACGGGAATTCAGGATATAATTCATCAACAGCATGATTATGTAAAGCCCTCTTCAAACTCTAGGACTACGGAGCCAACTTTCTAAGCAATTAGGGCTGGGGGTTGGGAAGTAGGATGGTAGGGGCTCCAAGGTTTAGGGTTTAGGGTTTAGGGTTTAGGGTTTAGGGTTTAGGGTTTAGGGTTTAGGGCTCGACAGAATGGATCTCGGGATTAGGATGAGCTGTTGCGGGTTTGATTCTGTTGGAATTCAAGGTTTGCGTCTTCAGATAAGGTGTATAGGCTAAGGAGACCCGAAACCCTGAACCCTAAACCCCAAGCCCTAAATCCGGGTTTGCGAGGAGGACCTCTGGCCGCTAGGGCCCCAAAAAAGCACATAAGCAAAAATTAGGATCCGGATATCCCCTATAAATCCCCTTATGATGAAGCCCAATAAGGTAGGGATATCCCTATACAAAGCTTATGCTTATATGCCTTTTGGGTCCCTAACTTGCAAGTGACCGCCCATGGCAGTCGGGCTTTGGAAAGACAGAACTCGGGTCTGAATCACTGCTGGGTTAATAAAAATGACCATTTTAATCCTTAATGCCCAAAGGCTCCAAATAGACTATCATTATGAGACTAGGTCCCAAAAGACCATCCGTATTGTAGTTTTAAGGGCCTAACCCTAAGCCCTAAACCCTAAACCATAATAGTAGAATAATGGAGCCGCTAGGTTGGGTTTACTAAAACGAACATGTAACATTGTAGCCAACACCCAGGAGTTGGGGGTTTGGGGCGCAGCACGGCCATCATGGCGAACCCTGTGCCGAGTGCCTCGATATCGAAACTATGTGGGTAGTTCTCTAAATTAGGGTCCCTTTGGGGGTCCTTTTATGAGGGTGCCGTACTATATTGCGGCCCTCAAAAGGGACCCTAGTTCAGAAAACTACCAATATGTGCCAGTCAAAAGTAAGGTCGTGATGTCGTGGCCTATATACGGGGCAGAAACGTCTCCTATTGCAGTCAGAGGGCCATCCATACCGCAAAAAGGGGGACAATGCATATGCAGTGTAGGAGCCGTCCCAAGTGCGCGGCACGAGCCGCAATATGCATGCTCGAGGTGCGAGGATCCAGCACCCCCCCTAAACATACCACAGTCAATTTCTCCTGCTCCGTGAAATTTGCGTCGTCCCCGTACAAATACATGGGAACATGCACTTGACCGGAAGCGACTTGTTCACGAAGGGAGCGGTGCTCCTCGCCCCACGAGCACGAATTCTCGGGAGTGGGACCAACACGGCTCCACTTCAGCAACGTCGTAATGCAGGTGGCCGTACTTGTGCAAGTGCGGCACGAGCCCGTGTGACTCAATTACTGGGAGGGTCCTGTCGTGAAGCAGTACGAAGGATGTGGGCGTCACAAACGAGACGCAGCAAGGGCACACAGGCTGATTGAGGTCTGCTCTGTTTGAACATCATGGCCGAACCTTACAAGGACAAAAGGAAAACTCCTGGAATAGAGAATACCTCCCAAGCCCTATATTCGAGGTGTTGAGGCCGCTATATCAGCTTTCCGGGCGAAGAGGCACGTCTTCTGGTGCCAGTCTTGCTTAGCCATTCTCTCATCCTTTAACGAAGGGCTTACTTGGAGGTTCCTTGGTAGTTATAAGTGGGGTTATAATAAAACGCAGGCTAACTATAGTTATAACCCATATCGGGGGATTTATAACCCTACTTATAACTAGCCAGGAACCGCCAAGGAGGGTTTAAGGTTTAGGATTTGGGGTTACGGCCTACGACCTTAACTCAACCCCCGAAACCTCAACCCCAAACCCAGCAAACCAAAACCCGAAACCACAGACTCATTCTTAGACCGTAAGTTCAAGCCCCAGTCGGAGGCACACTTTTCGGTGTTGGGCTTAGAACCCAGCGAAAACCCTTGGATCCTAACCCCAAACACTAAACTAAACCGTCAAAGCCAAACCGCAATCCTGAAGCCCCAAGCCCTACAGCGCGCGAGCCCTGCATCTACAATAAGCCCGAAATCCAAGATAGAACCCTGTTAGCGACACCCTGAACCCAACCCCAGAGATTTGCCCGAGGTCCGAACACAAAGTCTTGCTGGGTTTGCGTGAGCATCCCGTTCAACTCTTTTTCCTCTTCCTTGGGGCTTCGGGCTTCGGGTTAGGGCTTACCGTAACCCCAAATAACCTACCTTTTGAAGGACTTATATAAGGAAATCATATTAAGGAACCCTAAACAGGTGCCCAGGCGCTACGTAGAGCCCGGGCCAAGAGAGGGGTCTGAGTACTCAGTAATTAGATCCCGTCAATAGTTGTATCATATAATCATATAAACTATATTCTAATCGTAAGATTGCAAAGTCAAAAAACAATTCAAAAAACTTAATTTCGTTCAGTTTTATCTGGTCATTTCCTTTCGCTCTTTGTTAACGCTTTCACTCCATTTCATTGCAACAAAAGAGCGAAATCCAATGAGAGAAGAGGGAAACGAAGTGTACGAAGTTGGGACGCAAAAAGGAATGGACATCAGACAACCAGTCCTGGAAGGTCGAATTGCCGGTTTAGGGTTTAGGGTTAGGGGCAGGACTCACTTCGCTCGTGGCTGTTTTTCTATTATTGTTTTCATGCTTCGTTCCATTCCACTATACAATAAGAACAAAATTCACCACTCACTTGCCATTAGGATACACCTGTCATGGAATCCAGACTCAATTTCTACCTTTTGGTTCCTCCTTTCTCCATTCTTACAGTCCAAATCCATTTATGGCGTAATATATCGCCGAGCCAGACCGAATTATTTACGACACCAGAATAACGCATAGATATATACATATCACGAGTTGTGTGTGTGTGTGTGTATGTGTGTATATACATATATATATATACATATTTATGAGTTGGCCAGAGATTGAAATTTAGGTAGGGCTGAAGCGTTGAGGGCTTGCCTCTCGTGCGGCTGAACACACCTCCTGT